CTAACCACTGGGAGACTGTGGATGCGTTAATTCGAAGTTTAGTTCCACAGTCGCTTGCTATAGCCAAGTAGTTTGAGTATGTCCCATCACCATTTGGCTTGCTGGTCCGAGCCACACCCAAGAATAATGGCAAACCGCGTGTATTTCTACTTTGAAAACGCTTCTTATAAAACCATTTGCGGCTTAAAATTGTAGATTCTTCCAACTTGTGTTATAACAACAAGATGCACACCACAAATTGTAGGAGAAGTTCGGCCAAATAATATTCAAATTCAGACATCGCGTATAGGCAACTCATTTTCGTGCTATCTGCTTTATATTTGCCAAACATACGGTGCGTTTGATTCTCCTCCAATACTCAAAGTATGGTGAGTACCTGGTCTTTGGTGAATTTACCTAGTCTAAAGTCACACAGATACCAGATCTAAAGTGCATAGCATATTAAGTATGTGGCGGGGTCACCTTCGTCGAAGATTGGGCAGAGCACACTCAAATGGCAGTCAGGAAGCATGCTTTCTACCTTTATTTCGTCAAATACGTCTCGCCTTCTCTTTATCTTCCCATATCGATTCTAAATATCGCGCTTTGCCCCCCATTGCAGGGGTATCCTTTCTTTCCTGCAGCTTCGTAACATTCACCATCGTACCTGTTCTTTTTTTCGGGCTTGCTGGAATACTTCTTCGGCAGTGGTACGTGATGTGCGGGAAATATGGTTCCACTGCTCGCATATGTCGGCTTCTTGAAGAGTACTCTCTGAGAGAAGGTGTAAGAGTCGAGTGGCGAATGCATGTTGTAATGTCTGATGTGATTCTAGCTTTCCAGTGATCCGAGTCGATGTTTGATCCTTGGGGTGTACTAACATCTAAAACACTGGAAGCGTGCCTTCTGTTTATCACAACATGATCGATCAAGCTACGTAGCTTGATGGATCCTTCTATGCAGGAGCCTAGTACTGCTTGCTACCATAGATAATAAAATGAGATTTGCACCGCGACCTAGTGGTCTATTGTGCCATCCTCCACTCTTCACCATGTCTTCTCTAAACCTAAATCTCTGACAAATTTCAACAGTACCTGTGGGGATAGGGTTTGATTATGGCCACATTGAGCTTAAACTTCTCTCACGTCTTCTGCAAACTGCATCACACTTGGTAAGGATAGCCGACAGCTTACTACCATGGTTCGGGCGCCGGCGAAGTCGATCAGCCTCAATCCGTTATGGCACGTTTTGTCGGAAGGGTTTCATTTTCTGACAGTGGGACTAAAGCTTTCTTCTCTTGTTCACCATGGCATTGAAATCGAGTTCGTATTCAGCTGTAATACATACATACATACATGTAGGTGGTCCCACACTACCCGTCCACCNTGGGGTGTACTAACATCTAAAACACTGGAAGCGTGCCTTCTGTTTATCACAACATGATCGATTTCGTTCCTCGTTTTTCGTTTTGAAGACAGCTACGTAGCTTGATGGATCCTTCTATGCAGGAGCCTAGTACTGCTTGCTACCATAGATAATAAAATGAGATTTGCACCGCGACCTAGTGGTCTATTGTGCCATCCTCCACTCTTCACCATGTCTTCTCTAAACCTAAATCTCTGACAAATTTCAACAGTACCTGTGGGGATAGGGTTTGATTATGGCCACATTGAGCTTAAACTTCTCTCACGTCTTCTGCAAACTGCATCACACTTGGTAAGGATAGCCGACAGCTTACTACCATGGTTCGGGCGCCGGCGAAGTCGATCAGCCTCAATCCGTTATGGCACGTTTTGTCGGAAGGGTTTCATTTTCTGACAGTGGGACTAAAGCTTTCTTCTCTTGTTCACCATGGCATTGAAATCGAGTTCGTATTCAGCTGTAATACATACATACATACATGTAGGTGGTCCCACACTACCCGTCCACCCCGTCTAATATGGAGAAAAATAGTTTTTATTGGAAGGCGCAAGAATATGAAATACCAAGTCGGGGATACTCCATCTTTTGGTGGTATTACCGAAATCCAGTTTCGACCGAAAGTGGGTAAAACTTACCGGAAGGTCATTTCTTTATATGGGGTTATATGCTTTTACTACAGATTCGGATTCTGCGCATAAAAAAANAATATGGAGAAAAATAGTTTTTATTGGAAGGCGCAAGAATATGAAATACCAAGTCGGGGATACTCCATCTTTTGGTGGTATTACCGAAATCCAGTTTCGACCGAAAGTGGGTAAAACTTACCGGAAGGTCATTTCTTTATATGGGGTTATATGCTTTTACTACAGATTCGGATTCTGCGCATAAAAAAAAAGTAACTTTTATTTGAAACTTTTTCAACTTTCAACTAGTCCTGGACGAAAATGTTTTTTTATTGGAAAACGAAGAAATAAGTATTACCGACTTTCGGTTTCGACCGAAAGTAGTTCAAATAGGCTGGAGCTCCATTATTTTAAACGGAAATCCATTATAGAAAAAAATTTCCTACAAAGGTAATGTATTTTTTCCGCAGATTCCGAATCTGTGATAAAAACTTTAATACTTCTGGTCAGTTAAACCTACTTCCAGTCGAAACCCGAAGTCGATAATACGACCAAAAGATAAAGAGAGCATCGCCGACTTGGCGATTCACATTATTTCGTTTGCCAATAAAAAATATTTTCGTTCATTTAAAAAGCGGTGGACACCCTGTATACAAACATTTTTTTTGTCGCAAAAAGTTATAATTAATAGAATAAATTTGTGTCAACAAGTCGTAATTCTTCTTTTCATCTCCACCTTCACACAGCATGCTACCCAACGAGGGCTCACTGCTATTCAATAGCACGGATGTACCACTCCTACCGAAAGTCACACTACAAATTGTCGATCTGTCGCATCAACACGAAACGAATGATGTGCAAATTGGACAAAATCTAGAACTACAAATCATTGCTGAATACTCACCACACCAGCAACAGTTGGTTAACTATGCACTGCCACCATTGCCCGACTTTCGCGCGACTTCGCTGATTGCCAAAACACAGGACAATCAAAATTTCGTGCAACTCATCGATGAACGGGGCTGCCCCATTGATGTCACGGTATTTCCCGCATTGGAGCGTAAACACTCAACTACACAAAATATGTTAAGAGCACGTTTTCACGCCTTCAAATTTGCCGGATCTTCGTTAGTGAACTTCGATGTGAATATACGTTTTTGTAAACAACGCTGTCCCGGAGATAATTGTTATCCATATGCGAGCGGTGGTGGTGTTAGCACGAGCCCAAGCAAGGATGACAGTTATAGCAGCGCNGTAGCGGTGGTGGTGGTGGTGGTGGTGTTAGCACGAGCCCAAGCAAGGATGACAGTTATAGCAGCGCTACAGCTAATCTTGTAAGTTCTGCTACACGAAAACGCCGCCAGATCCGACCACCAATTAGCGAAGAGGAGCCAGAGTCTCCACTCTCGGATCGTTTTAAGGTTCAAAACCCCGTTTACATATCGACGGTGATGGATGTGCCCCAAGAACAGCTTGAAGAGATGAATTTGACGCGTGACTCAAAGACTGACAATATGTCGATACAAGATTTGGGCATACTTCCACTGAACTATAATTTACACGTGCGTGGTCCCGATCAGGTCAGCAGTAATAGCTTTATTTATGGCGAGCGTGGCGTCTTACTGATTGCGGGCATTGGTATGTGCCTACTGACAGTCGGTATTCTATTAAAATTGTATTTTTCGTTTTTCTTTTTATTTCTTTGATTTAGATCACATGCAATTGGACAACTTTTGCTTGAATCAAAGCCTTCTCATCGCTCTACTGATTTTCTGGCTAATCTTTCAGGTTGCACTCATGTTCAGCTGCTGCTATGTTATACAGAAATACAAACGTTTGGCAGTAATGGATGAAGAACGCCGAAAGATCAAAGAGAGCCTAGACTACCTCGAAAGTCGACGCGTGCATTGGGCGGATCAAGGTGGTTACACGCTTTGATAATAAATAAATTCAAATTTACACTTTTTCCTTGTAAATAAATCTTGATTTTAGTGCAAGAAAGTTATATATATAGTTTGCTTTATATTCGGTTTGTTAAAATCCTACTCTTCTTTTTGGGCGCTGACCGAGGCTAATTAAGTATGCCGTATGCCGTTCGTTTTTCTTCTGTGTCAACTGACGTCAATTGGAAATGTCCAGTAAAGTCAAGTTCTCCTTTTCTGGACTTACCATCACAAAAGTGCCATCAACTTAACTTGCTACCATCAGCAGATATCGCGTTGCATACTTTCAGGGCTGGAGCTTTGGTATCCATTTATAGATGTGCAAGCTTGCAGAGCCACTTTATTTGATTACGCTGCACTATGTCAATACTATTGTAAGGCCTATAAAGCTCATCCTTCACTTGTCGACGGTATTCGCCTTCGTTACACAGCTTGTAAATCCTCCGTAGAATCTTCAAAGCCTTCAAGTCGCTAGCCGGCAACACCTGGGGCAAAGACAAAGAAACGTTGTCGGCAACATATAAGGCCAGCCGGTTCTAAATTATGCAGCGCCCGGGGACTACCAGGATGCAATGGACAAAGCTGCAGATTTAAAAAAAAAAAACACGGCAATCCGGACAGTCACCGGATGCCTTCTGATGTCGCTACAGCACCACCTACATGACGAGGCTCAAATGCATCCTGTCACAATATAATAGTTTGTACACTATTCCTAGTAGGATGCCTTAGACGTTGGTACCCGAACAGACCCTACTTGCCGCAGAGCATTTGCCTAGACACGTCATAAGACATCTCTCAGAACTAACGGAGGTACATAAAACAACCTCTGGACCCGACTGCGTACCGATAGGCCATAAATGGTATTCACAGGGAGTCGGTCTCGAGGTGACACAAACTCCAGACCTGTAAATGCCGTTTTGGGAGTATAGCCACCTGACAATACAGAACGCACTTTTACTTGAATGGGATAAATGCAAATGTGCCCCATGAGTGTCCGGCATGCGGAGTCACCTCACTACTCGCCACACCTCTTCGCATGTCCTCTAAACACCACTTCCTGAGCCTCCCGTTAGTTGTGCTTGACGAAAACGATTGAGGACAAGCCGATCCACAGTGGTTAATAAATTTTTGATACATTTTTTTAATGAAAACTTATAAAATTTGCAAGACATTAGTTGAGCTCAATGTTTGATTTTTCATTTGTTTACATTTTGTATTTCTTAGTGCAAAGTGCAGAAAGAGTGGCAATTTTGAAGAAGATCGATACAAAGTTATATAATAAAAACTAGTTAAGAACAATTTTATGGTTCTTCCAAAACGAAAAAAATTAAAAACAAATAATTTGAAATATTATGAAAAACTTTTCACCAAAAGTTTCCTTTTTGTTTTTGGTTTTTATAAAAATTTTGGGTATGCAGTTTTATAGATCATTAAATTTTAGTATACTAAAGTGCAAGTTGCAAATGGCTGAAAGTTTGCGTTGATTTTTAATAATATAACACATGCTTTCATTTCCCATTTAGCATGCAGATGTGCTCGAAATGTTAGCGAAAAAATTATTAAAAGTCAACGCGACCTCTTAGCTACTTTCAGCTTGCACTTTATTATATTAAAATTTAATTATCTATAAAACTGCATACCCAAAATTTTTATAAAAACCAAAAACAAAAAGAAAATACTTTTGGTGGAGTACAATTGTTTTGAACTAGTTTTTATTATGTAACATTTATTAACTAGAAAAGGAGAATCAATCTTTTTCAAATAATCAAAAATTGGTATCAACTAATCTCTTGCAGATTTTATAAGCTTTAATTTAAAAAAAAATGTCAAATTGGTTGAGAAATGAAAGCTCCAGTGAATTATGAAGATTAAATTCCATTTATTAATCACTGTGCGATCTAGGCAGGACTAAGCAAGACGCTACAGCAGAATTTGTGTTAACTCTGATACCCAAGTATACGGACTTTTTCGAGATTATAACTGTCAACAGTAAGTTAGTTCGTCTTGCCTTCTTACCACCTGACCCATTCGCTTTCCATATCCATCTTAGAGAAATCAAAACAAATTGAGTGTTATTACGCTCTTTTAAAAATAGTTCCGGAGTGATTTAATTCTGCGGCTTTTATTACCCTTTCCTATCATACGATGTGGAGTCAACCTTTCTGAAACCTCGGCTACAGAGCTGATGCTATTGTTCAACCTCACTTTACATCGCCATATTATCTTGGCGGGGATACCAAATGCAGAAACCGTCGTAAAGGCATCTCCGTTTCGGGCTAATGAAAGCGGCTTTAGCAGCACAAGAGTTCATGCATGCAACATATCAACCCCTCACCGCTCACTCAGCTGGAAGATTGACAGTGCCATCAGCTTTGTTTTTCAGGTGCAATATTATTATTGGCATCTCGTCATAATTAAGCGGTGACACATCGATTCCGTTCCCATTGATTGGGTTCCTGGGTTTCAAAATTTCAACACGCTATGAACATCACTGAATAGGCGCTTAACTTTCTGAAAGAATTTACGGGAGTTTTCCCGTCGACCAATATCACAAGCTTTTTTTTCTTACAAAAAATATGTATGTATTTACGTATGGCTTTCTCTTTCAGCTCCCTGCATCCAACCCACTAAACTTGCATTGCACCCGATTTGAGCTTAACCCCGTATGCGTCATCTTTTTCTCTGCAGCGGGCTCGCTGAAATCCAGTACTGCTCCTATACATTGATTTGTTGAAGAGTGCTCTCACAGAGCAGTTACGCGCGCATTAACGCCCACTCAGATAGCTGGTTATACATCGTTTCGTCCGAACTGGAAGTGACAAGTCCGTACTGACTTGGCAAGGAGTCCGAGCGCCTCTTCAAACTTCGAAAGCCCTGACGGCAAAATCACTGACTATCTATCAACATTTCCAGTTTCTTTACTGCCAGAAACCTCATCATATCCGCTTTGAAATCCACCGCCATGCTTTTCACCAGGTTTAGGGGTTTCAGGTTCGAACTAAGTAGTCGCCACCTCATGTCGCCGCAGCATCACCTAAACAAAGAAAGCCTGATGCTGGCGGTGAAAGAGCATAACATCATGCTGTCGAAGCAATTCCCCGTAGGATGTCATCGGGAAAATCACCCCAACAACGCTCTGTTTCGAAATGGTCCGAACCGGCATACGAGTCGGCAACTGCTCACCAACCAACATCTTTTCGCATGCACCTCCAACCAGACCACCTTGGCAATGGAAGCACAACAAGAGCAAAGTATCTTTCTCACTATAAACTCACTACATGTCAGGTATAATATATGTCGCAAAATACCGCAGTTCTTGCCTTGCTCAGCGTATTTCTTCAATGGGAGGGAAACTAGCCTTCCCGAGAATAAATTTGCGGTCGGAACGGATGGGGCACCTTCATCCGAGGCGACGTTGCCCTTTACATTGGAAACTTATTTACTTTACGTCAAGTGGTTGTTCCCAGAATTTTATTCACAGATCGAGAGTCAGTGTAGGTCAATACTGATTCCCTGTGAATGCCTCGATGGGGTCAGGTGGTTCGTGTTGTGTCCGAGTAGCAAGGCCTCTAGTGCCTTATCAGGGTTATCAGAAGATAGGACTCCCGGTTGGCCGGTTAAGCAGTGGGACCACCCTCCTCATTTTCCAGATGTCTGGAATGATAAGAGTAGCCATAGACAATTTGAGGTCCATGCCGCAGGACCCAACTTTTTTAGTATTAGCATGTATCCGTCGGGTCCTATGTCGTCACGATTCGTCTTGTTGGACAGTTATCTCGCGGTTGACCAAAGCTTGCTCGACGAGAGAAGCGAGGGCGACGAGGAATGATGAGGTACCCACCGCCCTTGAAAGTAGCCCAGATCAATCTGCATCATGCGATTGCGTCTGTAATTGCAAGCAGGTTTTCGACGGACGGTCTGGGCATATTATTAATTCAGGAGCCGTAGACTTACAGAGGCCTCAAAGGAGCAAGTAATAAGGTAATATAGGACCTCGCCGCGGAGAGGCCCAGAGCATGCGTAGTGCTTATAAACAATATTTATTATATTTGCATTACAGAGTTTCTAACGCCAGATCTAGTGGCAGTGCAGGTAACGCTTCGGGTGGACGGAAGACCCATGGACCTAGTCTTCGCATACAGCATACCCCTGCAGAGGTACAACGACTAGTGACACATTTCAGAAAGGCTCGACTTCCACTGATCCTCGTCGCGGATGCGAATGCTCACTACGTAGAGTGGGGAAGTTCAGACGTTAACAGAAGTGGCGAGTCGTTACTAGAGTACATATTAAGTGAAGATCTGAGCATAAATACTGTGGGAAATAGCCCGACATTCATCACTAGAGTATAACAGGAGGTCCTTGACCTGACCGTCAGCAACAATATTGGTAACGATCTGGTCATGGGCGTAGCCAGGTAGGGGCAGGGGGGTGCTCGAGCCCCCGCCCCCCCNCCAATTCTTGCTGGGAGCGGAGGTCAAGGCTTACGCTCCGATGAGGAACCCCAGAAACGCTAACTGGCATAAATATAGAAAGCTTTTAGCTTTAAACCTAACGGGTTTAGAGAGGGAACATTGAAGATATGGCTGTATTTCGCTAGAAAATAACTATAGCTGCCTCCGAAACCAAACCAAACGTGGCGACCAAAACCGCGTGGTGGTCAAGGGAGCTCTCAGCGCTCCGGAAAGAGGTACGCAAACTCTTCAACAAGGCCAAGCGTTGGGGAGGCTGCAAGGAGATTAGGAAGGTGAAGAGAGCTAGTTTTAGAACCTTCTGTGAAGTTATTTCGAATACCCCAGCAGCTGGGAGGCTACACAATGTTCTAGCTAAAACGCAGCCACTACACTAGAAGCTTGGAAGAGAGAGCTACCATTCTGCTTGAGGCACACTTCCCGGAGGCCACTCCAATTGAACTGGAGCCAGAGATTGAGCGGACCAGGTGCGACCATTTGACTGCAAACTGGCCAGAAGTATATTCACCCAGAATCCAGTCGGATGGGCGTTGGGTTCGTCGGCCAGTCATGCTGCAACAGGGTGGAGAGAACACTAACTAACACTGTACCTGGATAACATTCAACAGCTGTGGCGAAGGGCACGGGTAATCTTTATCCCAAAAGAGGGTAAAAGAGATTATTCGCCAGCGAAGTCATTCAGACTAACCTTTGTTTTGAAGGCAATGGAGAAGATAGTGGACAACAATATCAGATACACCATTCTGAAGGTAACACCCCTACAACCTTGTCAAGAGTTGGTAGGTCCACGGACACAGCCCTGTACCAACTGACAACGGAGATTCGGGTGGCCTTTGAATGTGGAGATAGTGCTATGTGCTTTCCTCGATCTATGAAGCCTAGTAGTGGATGAACTCCTCCAGCTTCTCTCTCACTATGGTATCCGCTGCCAAGGCTATGTGGACGATATAGTGATCATTGCCAGAGGAAAGTTCGACATCGTTCAAAGAGGCTTAAGATTAACAAAGGAATGGTATGCCAAGTGAGGGCTGAGTATAAATCCAGCTAAATCCGCCATCGTTCCATTTACTAGGAAAAGAGCCCTACCGGCCATGAGGGACATTACCTTGGATGGGGTCGTGGTCAATGTCGCCAGCGAAGTGAAGTACCTAGGACTAATCCTGGACACCAAACTTCGATGGAAGAAACATGTGGATGCGAACACATCCAAGACCACGAAAACATTAATGGTGTGTAAGCGTCTGTCGGGAAAATTCTGGGGTTCTAGCCCCAGGATCCTAAGATGGCTTTACACCATAATAGTACAGTGTCCAATGACAGCGCTGGAAGTGGTCCTTGAACTCGAGCCCCTTTATATAACCATAGAACAGGTCGCCAAAAGAACTCTACTCAATTTTGCCAGACAGAGATTTGGAAGACGTAAGGTGATTTTCTCCAGGAGCATGGGGAAGCTGGGTCCTCGCTCCCGCTAGCCCTGCTTCCGAGGGATGACATATGTAGAGCTATAGTTTTTGAAACGAGGTTTAAAATTGAGTTAATCAACCTGGAGTACCTGCTCCTTCGAGAGACTCCTTCACGATAGTACATTGNCCGAGGGATGACATATGTAGAGCTATAGTTTTTGAAACGAGGTTTAAAATTGAGTTAAGCAACCTGGAGTACCTGCTCCTTCGAGAGACTCCTTCACGATAGTACATTGCAGTGGTACACAGACGGCTCACCAGAAGGAATAGGGGCTGGAAGCTCTGGACCTAGCTCCAGGATCTCAATCCCTATGGGAAAATACCCGAGCATATTTCAATCTGAAGTCTACGCCATCTATTTGTGTGCGGAGACCATCATAAATAGAGGATACCGTAATGATAGAAATGTAATTCTAAGTGACAGTCAGGCGGCACTCAAGGTAGGCACAACAACATCAAACTGGCGTGGGTGCCTGGCCATATGGGAATAGAGGGGAATGAAGCGGCGGATTGTCCCGCTAGAGATGCGGCAGCCTCCCAAAGGAGAGGATAAGAATACTAACAGGTTTTCTTACAGGACACTGCAGACCAAGAGGGCATCTGTATAGGCTGGGGATACGATCACATGACCTTTCCCGGTTCTGCGACATTTCCAGTGAAACATCACTCCAATTCATGCAGCCAGAAGAAGACGTGAGGGATCTTGGCTTGGAGGAAATATTATGAAGAGCGGAGGACACAATAGATCATTAGGTCGCAGTGCATACCTCATCATATTATATATCTATCTATCTATCTACTACTAGTCGCCACGCGCAATAGGGGTGAGCTTTTTATCCTTGATAGAACGCTGAACGATCGCTCGGCGTTGGCAACCGAGACTGGCAATGTGCGGAACATTCGCAAAGCGAGACAGGTGTTTCTAAATTTTTAGTGTGATCGCATTTAAGTGGTCAAATGAAGGTATGCAGTCCTTAGAATTTTCAGCAAAATTCGCCCTATAAACGGTTTTCAGGTGCATCATTTTATTTGAAATATATTCGAACACATCAGAAGGATATTTTTTGCAAAGGAAAGTGCTGCAGTCTGGACGTCTTATTTTCCCATTTTAGGAAACAACCACAAAAATTTTCCTTTTTCATATCCTTTCTAACAGTTTTGCGCCCTTAGAAAGGAATGCTTAAAACAAGTAGATGATTTCAAAGACTGAACTTATAAATTGCACGAAATTAAATAATATTTCACATGTTTTATTATGAAATATACTCTGGTCAGCGATGCCCGTCAGACCCGGCCGGGGTAAACGTGCAAGAAATAGTTCCGATACTAGCAAGTCAATATTCTTGGGGGCTACTCTGTAATGCGATACGAAAGAGAAATGCGATGCGATAGGCAATCGCACAGCGTATTACTCACGGTGTATTTGCCTATACGCATCGCATTGCTATTTCGTATCGCATTACAGAGTAGCCCCCCTTATTAAGTCTCATCAGAAAATACCTTGACGCTTAAACAATAAAGGGAAAGCCGCATTATACTAAAGCCAGCTTTCTGACATAAGCTACTATTCCATACGAACACTGATTTGTACATGTTCGAAATGTTTAGCTTTTCAACATGCGCCTCTATAATGTCATGCTTAATCTTTCCTTCAAACTTTCTTCCAAGCTTGTAACTATGGCTTTTTGTATTATTTTATTACTTTAATAAGTATCAAGAGCCCTCAGGAAACTTAGTCCCAGGACAATACATCTAGTTAAAATAATAAAATTCTACAAAATTAAGTATGAGCACCAGCCTCTACAATTAGTGTAAGTATATAATGCACGAGCATAAAGCATGTAGTACATAAATATGTGTTCAGTAGATCAATAGCAACCCTTGAAATCCATTATAAATCTAAAAATAACTATTTATGCATGACCAGGTCTCGCACGCACAAAATTTTAAAATTTGTAACTCGTGCGCACCACCACACGATGTCTTAAGAAAGAGGGCATCGGTGTCCAAGTGATAGCTACGCACTGGTGAAAACCACAAGGGCGGATACTTTGATGGTGTGAGGTCAAATTGTGATGAAGTCTCCACTTTGTTCCGCGTTTGTACAACCGAATATTGTGCCCACAATAGACGCGCATACTTCCGCTTTGTTGTATTCGTTATACGAAATTCAATGCAATATTTTGTGCAGTTCGGCTCTTCTTTGAATGTAGCCATGTTGCTGCGTCGATGGCGCGCATATTGATGTGAATTATTGCTATGCAATTGTTGTTGCTGTTTCTTTAGCAAAATAGTTATAGTATCGCCATAGAGCCGATAATGACCACATAACACTTCTGGGCGTAGCTGATTAATATTTTTGAGCTTATTCACGCCCTGTGCAGGCTCATCAGCACTAGTCATCATAAGCACACGTCCATCACCCAAAAATCGTACGTAGCGATAGTATTCGACAAGCTGCACAGGGCGATAGTATTGATCTTGGAAGCTGTTCTCGCCCATACGCAAGTATGTTGTTTTGCTTATGTAACAGCCACTAAAGATTACGCGTTCGCGCATAATGAACATTTGTCGCCAAGATGTGTACACCATAGGTAGTAGTATCTGCTGATTCAATTAAATCGTCTGCTTGTGTATGCTGTATTGGTTCGCCCAAGGTGCCTAGATCAGCTCCCCAAACTCTGGTAAAAACAAATAACTAAATGTAATAAAAAGGTGGAAGAAAAGTAAGTACAATTTCTTACTTTGTGCAAACCGATCGCCATAGTTCCTCGTCTCGCGCACACAAATACATTCCCTTGCAAACGCCGGCGCATTGCTCCAAAGAATGTATATCCAACTGCGTCGATACGACCCATCGCAGTATGTACAACAAAATTTCCGGTGGTAACTCCGAAATATGCGTCTCAGTGGTAATAACACTGGCATCCCGACTGCTAAGCAGTAAGTGGCCCCCGTCCCTGGCTAAATCTAATTGAAATTTCTCATATAAATCTTCGACTAGCTCCTCGGTTTCTAGGTTTTCTTTCGGCGTTTCTATTGGTGAAGTTGTTTCAAACATTTTCTTTCCTTCGCATACTGTCGCTGCTGACTTTACCTTCTGCAGTTCATAAAATTTGAACTCAATATCCGGTACGATTTGCACTGCTTTACGGTAGAGTGGTAATGCATCATAAACCTTGCCTCGCTGTTCTAGCTCTACGGCACTGCGGAATAGATTCTCTGCCAGTTTATGCTGATCAATTTCCGTGGCATTTCTCATGCCATTTGCCGTCGATACTAATGCGTTTGCTGACTGTTGTTTTTGCTCCACCGTTCTGGAAGGAGATCCATTTTCACTATGACTTTTCAGTTCACGTTGCCAATTATCGCGAAATTCGTCTAACTCTGTGCGTACGTCAGTAGAAAATGAGTGCAAAGGAGAGTCCATGACAGCAGCTGGAGCTGTCGTTTGCGATGCATGAGCTGGCGGTTGACTTTGGCTTAAGACCTCATCTTCTGCATTCGGTTGCAATATTGCCTTTGACATGATGCAACTGTTTACAAATAAAATGAATATTTTTTAGCAAATGAATAAATTATGTACTTATGTACATGTGGCGTAGCACAACAAACCTTATAGATAAGACACCGCAGAGAAGTAACAATCGGTACAAGCACTGGCAACGCTGTTGTGAAATTGTTCAGATATCAATACACACGTGTAAAATAACTACCAGCGATTAACACTAAGATTTGCTCAGTATTTTTAATTTTATTTAAGGATTTCTGCTATGGTAGCTACTTGCTATCTAGAAGAACTCCCCTTAAAATTTAGGCGCGTTCGGCTAGTTCACGGTCGCTGTATCGTATAATGAAGGGGCGTGAATATTGTTGGCAGACGGCGGACACCAGGAGACGTCGGCACTTGAACTTGAATTGGATTTTTTCGAAGACTGCAGCGGCAACGACAGCTGGCAAGTTGGAGTGCTTGGCGGTAGAAATATACAGAACCGGCGACACTTTAGGCGTAATCACAAAACAATTGGCCATCATAGGTGGCGAATAATCAATGTCAAGGTTAAAAGGTGTATAACACTTCTCTTGAATGGAGCTCTTTTTCAACAAGTTTATTTAAATAACTCTTCCGAGTGTTTTCTATACTGGATATATGTAGTTAGTCCTAAGTATTAATAGTCCACCAAACTTTTTGCCACAAACTAATGGAGAAAATTAACGTCCACCAAGTTTTTTAACTTGTTTTGAGTGTAGGTATGTTATTTATAAATTTGTCCTTTTTTTCCTGCGCTTCTCAAATGCACATTTGTACTTTTCACTACCTAATATGTATGCATGTATCTATGGGTCACTTCCACTGCGTCGCAGTCGCCCGAACTTTGTGAGGATGTTATGCAGATTTTATACACTTTACAATCGCTGCACTCGCGTTTGATAAACGGCAAATTGTTGGCCGGCCAATGCTGAATCCATTGCTTTAGGACTTGTTATCCTTTTTACAATTCCTGATTACGTCAAACACGACTATTCGTTTCGGTCAAAACAAAACAACAAAAACATTTCGACGTTGACAACTTTGCGAACAGCTGACAGCTGTAAAATGCGGCGGAAGCCGACAGTGTTACCCTTTTCCGGGAAATTAAGACCCCAAATATCGTTGCCATTTTAGCCGTTTCCGGCCAGATTTTGCCGGTTGCGATAGCAAACAGCCGGAGAAATTTCGGTTTAGCCAGAAGCCGATTAGCCTATTTTGCTATTTGCCTTGTTTTCTTAAAATTCAAATATGNGAAACTTCATACAGGGAACTATTAGACCCCCATCTACCTCCCATATTTTCCTTAATGCTGAACTCCGGGGTTAGCAATCTAAAGCCCACCCTAGCCTATTTTGCTATTTGCTTTGTTTTCTTAAAATTCAAATATATACATATGCTTCCATTTTTGGGTACTCTTCAGTACGTTGCCGCTTATTTCGAGGTATTGCGCCCAAAGGGGTGACCCGATCCAAAAAAAATTTGCACACACTTCTAGTCAAGGGTCTACACATTATTTTAACACCCACTTTTGTAATTTTTGTTCACTAATTTATTTACAAATTAGTTTTGAAATGTGCCCTTTTTTGTAAAATTCGGAAATTTGGGTACATTTATCACTCCTTTTCTCCTTAAAGCAGCCACTTCACCAATATCTTTTTGTATTCCCCTTCACTTTAGACTTTACACGATTAGTTATAATTTTCTTTACGACTTTAATATTAAATAATTAATCACAATTCATTAAATAAAAACACCTTCAAAATCACGCGTCTGACTTTGGTTGGATATGCATATTAAATGGCGGAGTTCAGCTTTCAAACTCCAAAATATGCAAAAGGATGGGAGACAAAAGAAGATAGTATATAACCCAGTGAGCATTAAAAATATACAAACGTGTTCTCTGCAAAAGGTGTTCAGCTCCT